TTGATAGAGAGAGAGAGAGCACATAAGCAGGGGGAGCAGCAGAGGGAGAGGGAGAAGGAGGCTTGCCACTGAGGGGCTCAATCCCAGGACCCTGGGATCATGACCAGGGCCCAAGGCAGACGCTTAATTGACTGAGCCACTCAGGTGCCCCTAAGAAGGAGATTTAAATGACCAGCCTCCAAAGGACAAAACAAATATTTGATATATTTTTTTCCTTCCTGTGGATCATTACCATATATTTCATTATTAAGAAGTAGAACTCTAGACAATACCTTTGGATCTAATTACATTCTGGTTTTTCAAACTGAATCTCATCCAGACCACCAGGTCTAAACACTCCCAATTCGGGCATTTTCCCAACCATTATGCTCTGGAAAGGCATCTGGGCTGCACCTCAGGAAATATGGATAGTTGCCTCAAATCTCAGTACTTTTCAGTCTAAGATTGTGTTTTACTGTCTATTAGGGAAGAAAATTAGATATGCTGTAGGACATATATTTAAACATTAACGTTGATTGTTTCATAGCAGTGGATTTCTGGGTAACTTTTATTTTCTACTTTGTACCTTTCAATATTTCACAAATTCTCTATATTAGTTCTGAATTGTTTTTGCAATGACGAGAAGAGAAATCGGTTCACGTTATCCTTGCGAATCTCGTGGGGGAGAATTAGGGCAGTTGTGAAACTCTTAGAAAATCTTCGAATTATTTAGAAATCTGCTGAGTTTCCTTTCACATTTGTACAGTTTTAAGGGAGGGTTCAAGCTGATTTGCACTCGGGCAGAATGTGGTTTTTAGATCTGTTTTATTCTATGTTATTAAATACAAAATGTATAAATGTTTCATCACTATAAAACAGGACCAAAGGCAATTTAATAGGAATTTTGTGTTGTTTCCAAAGCTCCAGCTGAAGATGTCCTTGTTGTAATAAAATCCCTATGCCTTTTAACCCAGCGTTTTAAGTAATGAATTTAATTATGAAAAAAACTGCTGTCACTAAAGTCTGCCTCTTAATCATGCCTGCATTTATGACAAAAAAAAATCTGTTGCTATGGAAATTTTAGAGTCAGAGTTGCATCCCACAAAGCTCTACTGAAGTGTAAAGCAAAAATAGGAAATGAATCTTCAGTAAAGAGAAACTTAATATATTTTTAAAAACATTGAAATTATGGAATGTAGATGGATTTTACAAATGAACCTCATTTTGCATAACAAGTAGTCATGTAAAAAGTTCTGCATATATCTAATTTTGGAAAATCAAATAATTTAAAGTATAACTAGGGAACTTACCATTGACAGGCATTGCACAGGGGATCTGCCTCAATTTAATTAAACATATGTTGAGGCTTTACTATCTTATATTAAAAATTAATATTTTCATAGACTGAGTTTTTCAAAATTGAACACATATATAATTTGACATTAGTTTCAAAATGATTTTTAGTTGTCATTAAAACCCCAAATAACAGAACCAGCTGTGAATTACAGCTGTATAATGAGACCAGAGCCACAACTCACATTTAATAGTTATTTACCAATAGATGAGCCAATAACCACACAAAACAAGCTGGCAAACAGGATGAAGAAGGTAAATGATGGACTTGCTTTTAACTTATGAACTATCTCATGTATGCAAAAAGCAGAGACCAATATAACAAACCCCTGCTTAAAAAAGATAATTTTACAAGTACAAATGAAACTTCTTGGGCCTTCTTGTTAGATCTCATTCCCTCTCTTCCATGACTCCAAACTTGAACTTGGGCTTGCCCATGAACCTGCATTGAAAAATGCTTTTGGTACATACTTTTACACATCCATAAATACTCTACATTAGGTCATTCCCCCTGTTTTAATAACTTTTATAAAAATGGTGTCTTTGTATATGTTTTCTGCAACACTTCACTTTTCTCTTTTACTCAACCTACTTTTGAAGCGTATCCAGATAAATATGTCTCTGATTCATTTACAGTATTCTGCAGTAATCTGTTCCACATTCATTTCTAACTTCTGTTTACTATTCTACTGCATGATGACATGGTCATTTATTTATCTGTCCTCCACCTGAGAGATATTAGGTAGGTTTGTTTCTTTGTGTTTTGAGGGTTTTGTTTTTTGCTATTGTAATCAATGCATCAGTGAACAGTTTTTCATGAGTTTCCTTGGGCACATGAGCGAAGCTTCTTTGGGGGATATACCACAAACACTTCAAGTATGGGAAAATGAGAAAAGGTGCTTCAACAGTGGGCTTTCTGGTCTACTGTTTTCTCCCCTAATCAACAGCTATGGGCTTGTCCAATCCTGTCTACACATAGATAATATTGAATTATTAAAATTTATGTTTCCATAGATTGAAGATAGCCTTGATGACATCATATATATTTCACCTAGGTTTCCAGGCTTTATGGACACCTTCCAAGATACCTTAGCAAACAATGAAGTATCCAGTCTCAAGCTAAATGAAAGCCGAAGGAATGTGGGGCAGGCTCACACACTTATGCCATCCTTTGAGTTAAGGTTGTAAGACTGCACGGTGAAAATATAACAACGCAAACCTCTGCACTGAAGGGCGCTATTAAGAGCCAAATGAGCAGCGCAAGAGCCAGTGCCCAAGGAGTTCTGGGAGCTCGAGGCTCTGCCATTTGAATTAGGATGGAAAGATTCATATAATGCGCAGAAGGAGAAGGAAGAGCGATGCAGACTAGAGGCAGAAACCAAGTTTCTAGTACTCTCCAGAAATGTGCCATTTTCCCCCTGCAATTCAATGAAGGAGAACAAGTCAGCTGGGGTGGGGAATGCGTAAAGCACCTACACATGAAGTGAACCGAGACTACTGTGTTTAAGCCTCTGAATAGCTGGCAGGTGGTCAATTTCTAAAGCAATTTCTTGGAGATTGATATGGAGAAAGATATGGGGAGCTCTGGGGTTTTATTACCCATCACTTAGCTGCTGGTCTTGGCTCCTATTCTCTCGCTGCCTGCTTGCCTCCCCTCTCTTTCTGCTTCCCTTCTTCTTCCGCTTTCTGTTTGCGTCCTGTCATTCTCTGTTATAATTAAAATAGAAAACATTGCAGGTGTCTGCTGTAAAGCATTTGCAGACCCTGGGTATTACATGAAAAAAAATAAGCAGCTGCAAATTGTGTAATTTGGTCTTAAAAAAAAAAAAAAAACCTGAAAGACATTTCTGGAAATAAACACATCTTTCATCCTGGTAGGTCTGAATTTATTTTTTGTTTGTACTTCAGCCCCTTTGCTCGCCATTTCCTCTCCTCACTGCCTTGTACAGAAAGTTTCAGCTTTAACCAGTGAGTGTTCCTATTTTAGAAGAGATGGGGGAATTTCTGGAATCATGGCTTAAAATGGGGCAACTGTGTCTGTAGGGTGTGGTGCAGTGTTTCAGTCAAAACAACGCCTAAGAATAACAGCGGCTGTAAGTGACTAAAAATGGAGAAAAAGTAAAAATGTGCTGAAATATTATCTGTGATAGTTGGAAGGGATCTGCCATCCCCAGAGGAAACCAGTATATTGGCATGGATGACAACGGGGACTCCAGCCCACTCCCACTCTGGCCACCATGTTTTCTTGGGGGCATCCACTCAGGTCCTCAAGTCATTTAAAAAAATCTGCTCCTACAGCAGACAATAGGTGTTCCAATTTTAGCTTGAGGCTCAGCTATGTCCTCCTTTTCCTTGACTTTCAGATTTCCCAGAGCAGTGGGATGGGTGCAAGAGAGAGGAAGCCGGTGTAGCAATGAAGAGTTTTAAGTTCTCCAGTCAGACAGAACCAAACTTAAATCTTGGTTCTACCTCTAACTGTGATCATTAGGCAAATTATTTAATTGCCTTATGCTTTTGTTTCCTTATCAGTAACATGGGGTCAGTCATTCTATGTGCATCATGGTCATAATTCTTGTGAGGACAGAAGGAGACGATGTATATGAAGTATATAATAATATAGTGTCTAGCATGGTAAATGCTCCAGAAAGGTCAGGCAGTGATGGTAGTGGTAGAGATGGTGGAGGTGGTGGTGATACCTTCCCTTCCCCTCCTTTTATCCCCCCATAGTGCCATCTCACCTGGTCACATCCATCTACCCACCCATCCATCCTTCCACCCATCCATCCATCCATCCATCCAAGAAGTGTTATAGACCTCTACTATGTGCCAGGCATTATTCTAGGGTTCTATAAAACAGTATATGACTTTATATCCATTAATATTTTAAACAAAGAAAAATGAAAAGCACCCAGTTAGTAAAAACTTACTAGTGGAAGGCATGCATATACACTCCTTGGAAATTAATATTAGGTTGAAGTGAATGGCCTTGGTTAGGAGTGATGCTATATTTCCACACCTACATTAAATGTGTAGGTAATTTGTTGTGCCTTTTTGCCCCTGATGGCTAAACTTCCCATAAGTTAAACTTTCTCTGTGAGAAACACAAAACCCTTGAAAGCATCCTCTCTCCCACAAGAGAAATTATAAACTCCAGTCTCTTGCCAGAGGATTCGGAAGCCCTCACCACATAAGAGCCGTCACTATCCTAACGGTTTTCTGCAAGACCCAAACTTTATTGCATATGAAGTTATGGTCATCAGACAATTTCTTTTTCTGAATTCAATGGAAAATATTTTGTTCTTTTCTCTTTCTCTTTCACTGCAGTATAGTTTCCTACTGAAGGCCACTAGCGCCATCCTCCCAGTTATAGAAATCAAAGTTCTTTCGACATTGCCTCATGTGCCCTGGGGACAAAATTGCCCCCAGTTGAGAACCACCATTTTCATCCAATCTTGTTCTATGGACGCATCTAGAGACAACCTACACGTGAGCTATATAAACATGGGAATAGGGCACACTGTTCATACTTCTATGCATAGTTCTGTGAGATGGTTTTAATAAGCTACAGCAGCATTGTCATTTAATTCAGATACAATTTAAGACATCACTCAGAACTACAATTTTTGAGGAAATTTAGCTTATGTAAGAAGACATTTTATTTTGCTTGTTACAAGAACACAGTTCCAGAAATGTTTTCAAACCAAGAAAAACAGCATCAGTTAAATCCTTTATAAGGTTAACATGTAAAGAACGTTTAGGGAATAATTGACACCATCCAGTTGAAAAGGCTTCCTCCTGATACAATACAACCATTAGCAAGGTCAAAAAGTCTCTCAAGATTGAATATAGATGGCAGCGAGATATCAAATGGGACCTGAGAAAAAGCAGAAAGTGTTCATGAAATGCATTGTTTCAAACTGTTGGCTGAAGGAAAGTTCTCAAACATACAAATACCAATTCCATATAATGGTTTTATGTGAAAGATATTTAACTCTTGCCCAAGGCAAAATGACAAGTTTCATATCTCTGCATGGCTAAAATGTCACACGCATCATTTTAGACCCTATTAAGATTCATAGATTAGCCTATAAAACAGTAGATATTTGAGAAATATAGACTATTTGCATCCTTATAATCACTGTATATGATTCTAAAGGTAGGATTTGGGCCCCATTCCTAACAAAATGCTTTCCTCCATAACAGGCTGCCCAGTGGACAAATCTCCCTGTCTGTCTTTGAACTTAAGTCTTGCCACAGTGAAGCAAGCACGTTTGACGCTCACTCTCTCCGAAAGAGGCACTGGGTTACCATGCTGAGAACGAGCACAGTCTCAGTCACCTGAACAGAATGAAAGATTGAAAATAAGACTGCCTTTGTGACCACAGCACTGGTCATTTCAGAGAGAAGCAGGAAGGAGAGAATGATAAATAGGAAGGAACTTTAACGTTTCCTGGGGACCTACTTTATGCAGATCTAGATACTTTGGAAGATGAGTGAGCAAATGTCATGTAGAATGACCACAACAGATTAGATGCTTGTGGCCCTAAATTCTGGTAAGAAATTAGAAGACAAGTTTTATTAATTTCTTCTCAAATTGTTAAACGAATCTTTCATTCTTAAGAAAACACAGTGAACCTAAAAGTGGAAGCTGGTTTTTATTTCTTTTTCTTGACTTCATTGGATTAAAACAGGACCAAAGTATTCCAGTGCCTTCTATAACTTAACATAATAAAGAGGTGAAAAAAAATTAATAATGTCCTCCTTTCTCACTCAATCCTGAAGTAATAAGTATTACCAGTTTGGGGAGTACCTTTCCAAGACCTTTAAAATCCTCTGACAAATGTATATTCATGTGGGTTTCTTATTTTACCTTTTTTCTTTCCTTTGTTTTTTGAAATAGGATAACTAGGTTTCCATTATTTGCTTTTTCAATTACCAGTATGTAAGAGAAATCCCTCTTTAATCAATTCAAGGAGGCAGAATAACTACATGGAGTTTAAGAGTGTGTTCTGGAGTTAAGACTGCTTTGGTTCAAATTCAGACCTCACCACATACCAGCTGTGTGAGCTTGAGTAAAATATTTGATCTGTTTGAATTTTAACTTGGTCATCCATAAAACAGAAATAATATTGTTATTACAATTATTACAATGTATTGTTGTTACAAGATGGAATAAGTTTATACATATAAAATACTCAGAATGATGCCTAGCACACAATAAACACACAGTAAAGGCTACACATTACTATCATTGTCAAGCATATTCTTTTTAATGGCTACATAACAATGCATGGGATGGCTGCATCCTATTGTTCAATCAATCACCATAAAGGTTGTTTCTAGTTTTTGTACATGTTTGTTTATTCATATACATCCCTGGGTAGAGATGCTTCTATTTCTGTACTACTGATTCCCCAAGATGGTTTGGTTTAGTCAAAGGTATTTACATTTTACATTTTAACATTTCTTGCCAGATTACTTTCCAAATAGGTTATGATAATTAACACTTCAACCAGAAATATACAGATGTATAGATACCCAATTGACCCAGATCTATTTGTTGAAAAGACTGTTCTTTCCTCACTGAGCTGCAAAGTCATCTTTGACATAAACCATTGGGCCAAATATGCATGGATCTCTTTCTGGACTGTATTCTGTTCCATCAGACTATATACTTACTCCAATCCCACACTGTTATTACAGCTCTTTCATAAGACTCGACAACTAGAAGTGTAATTCCATTAGCTTTGTTCTTTTTTTGCATGGTTTTGGCTATTCCAGGTCCTTTGCATTTCTGTGTAAATTCCCTGATACTACAGTAAATGATAGCTTTTCAAATCTTTCATTTATAATTTTTGCCTGCTATGTAGAAATTGCAAACATTCATATGCATATAGCAACTTTGCTAAATTCACTTATTCATTCTAAGAGTTTATCTGAAGACTACTTTGGACTTTCTATGTCTATAAATAATAAGAATTGTATTCCTTCCTTTCTCACGCTTACACCTTTCTGTTTTCTTCCTTTACTTCACTGGCTGAGAATCCCCATGCCATATTAATTAGAAATGATGACAGGATGTCATCAACATATGATTAATTGACTTTTCAATTCAGGAAAAAGGGAAAGGTTTATTTAATGAATGGCATTGTGAAAGTATCTACTACTAAAATTCATTCTTTTCTTTACTTACATCCTCTACTACTTTTGTTAAATTTATTCCTAGGCATTTTATAGTTTTGTTATTATTGTGAATGTTTTAAAGTTTTAAAAGTTCTGTTTAAAGTGATTGTCCTTGGGGCACCTGGCTGGCTTGGTTGGTGGAGTATGTGAGTCTTGATCTCAGGGTTGTGAGTTTGAACATCATGTTGGGTATACAGATTACTTAAAAATAAAATCTTTTTAAAAAACGGTTATTCTTAGGGTGCCTGGGTGGCCCAGTTGTTAAGCGTCTGCCTTCAGCTCAGGTCATGATCCCAGGGCCCTGGGATCGAGCCCCACATCGGGCTCCCTGCTCCGCAGGAAGCCTGCTTCTCCCTCTCCACTCCCCCTGCTTGTGTTCCCTCTCTCGCTGTGTCTCTTTCTGTCAAATAAATAAATAAAATCTTTTTAAAAAAATGGTTATTCTTAGTAGAAAGAAAGTTATTAATTTTTATATCAGCCACTTTATCAGATTCTCTTAATCTAATCATTTTAAAAACGCTTACAGTTTGGTTTTGCAGTTATATCCTTTACAAATAAATACAACTTTGTTATTTCTTAGTATTTATGTTACTGATGTTATTCTCTTGTCTCATTGCAATAGCTAAAAATTTCAAAGTAATATTGATTCTTAGAAGTGCTATGGAGTCCTGTTACTCCTAAAAATTCTACCACCTAAACATGTTCCAGGTAATTTATGAAAGTTTATTTTGTTAAACAGTAAAATTAAAAAGCCACTATCATCAAAAACATGGAGTCCAGTTTTAAAAAACGTTGAGTTAGGTGAAAATGTGAACTTTATCTCACACCCAAAGTACATCAGTGCTATAAACATTAAGGGAATCTGAATGTGCTTTAGGAAGTCAGAGTTATATCTTTTCCCAGAGAATTCAAGATTTTACAAATTAGGATTTATAAGATTTCAAATAAAATGATAGAGTTAAAAGGTAAAGCATTTCTTTAAACATGTTTCTTGATTTGTATCTACTCAATCTTGATACCAGGACATTTAAAGTAAGCCCACATAATGTTTTATAATGTGAACACCCCATGAGGCTCAGAGACTTTTTTTTAAAGATTGATTTCTTTATTTGAGGGTGGGGAGGGGCAGAGAGCGAAGGAGAGAATCTCAAGCAGACTCCCCGTTGAGCAGAGCCTGACCTGGGGCTCAATCTCTCCACCCTGAGATCATGACCTGAGCCAGTCAAGAGTTGGTTGCTTAATCCACTGGGCCACCCAGGTGCCCCAGAGGCTCAGAGTCTTCCAGTGACTTACCCAAGCTCCCTCAGCTAGTACGTATCAGAGCCAGGATCTATATTCCTGGCTGCTCAGAACACATTCCTAACCACCCTGCAGCACGGCCTCTCCCCTGCTGCCCAGCTGTCCTCGGAGCCCCCCTGCCCCAGCCATGTGTGGCCACCCCAGAAAGCCCCTGCTCCTTGCAGACTCTCCCGCTCACACCTGACTGCACTCTCCTGCTCCCTCCCACGGGCTGTGGCACTCTGGACCCTTTTCCAGTTTTGAATTTTGGAGATTTTATGGAAGGTTCTAGGGCTTCCATATGAAATTTCTCAAGTAAAGTTAAGCTTAGGTGGAATTACTGAATTTTTTTTTGTTTGTTTTGGCCATTCAATGGAGACTGGATTGGCAATCGTATAATCATGGGGGAATCTTTTCTGTCTTTTGTAAGTAGCTTTCAGTCTGAATTATCCTGGATAAGATACCAAGGAGTTCCGGTTCCTTTTCATGAATCAAGAAAGGCTTTGTGGAGAGAAAGGAAGAAAACAGCCTGGCAGGTAAACAGACTGTAAATTAGTTCAAGTAGGTTCTGCTTTAAGGGGCAATATTAGAGAAACGGTGATGGTTCTGCCTGAAAAGGACAGAAGTTGGAAATAACAAGAGGAAAGGACAAAAGGTAATCAAGTTGGGGTGCACTGAAGGGGTTCATTGCCAGGACTTGAGCTTGTCTGGGGGAGTTCCGAAAGTCACTGGAGAGTTAAAGGTTATTTGCCAATGCTATATTTTATATGAGTTTCTGCATGAAAACTAGATTCTATCATAATGAAAGATTTTATTACTTCTGTTCTTTTGTTCCAATAACTTTCCTTGACTGAAAGAGAAATCGTATAGTCTTCAAAGTACCTATGGTTTTTCTCAATCCAGTGAGTTTTTATTGAGCACCTATGTTGAGAACTCTTCTTGCTTCTCTCTCAGCACAGTGTCAGTTGCCTTTTCGTTGCTTCTATGTGACCAAGAAGACCAAGAAGAAAGGGGAGGGGGAACGCCGAATTCCCACTACCCAATGAGGTTTGCCTACTCTTTTAATTGGTAAGTGGGTTATCAAAAACTGTGAGCCTTGTGATATGGATGGATTTAACTTTGCCTCCTTTCTAGGACTTTCAAACACAGAGAGCCAGAGCCACGGCGGGGGGGGGGGGGGGGGGGGGGGGGGAGGTTTAAAAGCCTCAGGGCAGGAAAACAAATGCTGTTTTCATCCAGCCTTCTTACATGTAAGTTTCTGGACCATGTGATAGTTCTATCTCAGTATATCCCCTGAGTCTTCGAAGTTAATAATTTATTGGGTTTTTTTTTCAGACTGGGGAAAAACATGCATTCCACAGTAGGAAGGATTATATGATACTAGTTTACTTAAGAATCAATATCATGAATGAC